ATTGATTGATTGATTCCTCAAGTGCTCAAGTGTCAAAAACCTTGTTAGGTGTCCAGCTCTCATGGCCTTATTAGACACTATGAAATAATAAATAATACAAAAGCTAAGTGCAGTTTTTTTTTTTTCCCTGTAAAAAGAGAAAGGAGGTAAAACGGTTTGTTCCTTTTAATGGAATGTTTTGATTTCTTATATATTGTTTTACATTCTTAACAATGTATGATATTTGTTCAAAGGCCTATAAATATAAAAGAGGAAGTGTTTAAATTTCTTTAAAAAATAGATGCTGTTTCCTCAAGACTGGGCCCTGATCTAACAGTGAAACATTTCAGAAGAAAAAAAAACCCAGTGGTAAATTACACAATGGTATCTTTTTATTTTTATTCAACAAATGAATATTGATTAAAAAAAAAAGAGGGAATACTTATAATCGTTATTAAAAACTTTTCAAAGCAATATATTCTGTCTTTTCAACTTTACTAAAATATTGCACTTAACACGAAAAAGGAACTCACTTTCTTAAATAATGGGTTTGATATTTTTAAATAAATACTTTAGTACCATTCACAGATGTATTAAAATAGTCAAATAAATGATTTTATACTTTCCTTTGAAGAACAATGTTAATTTTAGCCTTCGTTACAAGTAAGTAAGTAAGTATACTGTAGGTCCCTCTTGTGACCAAAAGTGGAATTACACAGCAAAATGTTCCACCAGTTTTTAAATATAAGCAGCTTCTTGCAACACAGAAATGAGACATACACCTAAACTGCCACAGTGACTAAAGAAGGTCACACAATATTATGAGGCAGTGGTTTTGCATTATCTATCATTCTATGTTCTATTATTCTACTAACAGTTAAGTGGATGTGGCTCTGAATCTTGAGCCATGATTGGACCAGAGAAAGAGGTGGGGATTTGGAAAGAGAAGAGCTGGTTCTTTTCCACCCTGGTAAAACAGCATACTGAAGCAACACAGAGACACCATGAAGTGGTAGTGATAGCTCTGCTGAGTTTCACATTTTCCCCCCCTTTTTATTTCACTTGGAATTTCACTTGGAGAACAGAAAATAAAACTGAGTGAATGAACCATTTATTTATTGGTACCCAAATTACTTTTAGCTTCTGTCTGTTTTCAGTGCAACCAGTTTAGTAAAGTTGTTGCTCCATCAGATGACCAGGAGATGAGTCCAACTCTTGATCAGTTCATTGGAAATCAATAGTTAACCTAAATTATCACTGTGGCAGCTTGAAAATAAGCCATTTTTATTCGCTATCTCATTCCACCTTAACGCCTCCCAGCGTGGCTTTTTTCCCCCCAACTAGCCTCTCGCTCTTTCTCTATCTTCCCATCACAAGCCTCTCCAGCTGTTGCCCAATGTCAGGATTCACTCCCCCAAGTGAATCACCCGTCCATCTCCTCCTCCTCCTCCTCCTCCTCCTCC